TTGTTATAATTGCATCAAACGCTGAATACATTCATTAATAGTATATGATATTATGTGCGATAGCATAAATAGGTTTAAACTTGTAAAAGAAAAAAGAAAAAGCAATTTAAAATATTTTAAAGTGAAAATTATTTTGATAAAAGCTTGGAACGAAACGTTATTATTGCTTCAATAGGCATAACCTAATATTAAAATTAAAATATTTGAAAACTTTTCTATTTTATTTTTACAAGCTCAAACTCAGTTATCTATCATAATTTTATATTATTTATCATTTATTTCAGTAATCGTTGTAAGTACAATAAATAATGAAAAAAAAACTTTTGCCAAAAGTTTTAAAAAAAAAGTGATATTGTAATATTATATCTATTTTATATTATACCAAAAAAAAGGTGTAACTTGATATTATATTACTGTCAAACGAGTGCTGGACTAGACGACCTATTTGTAATAATTTATTTTTTTTTTTTGCTTCGTTTTACAAAATAAAAATGTTTAAAAATGTCCATACAAGTCATGCTTATTGTTCAAGTCATTCGATGCTTCAGTGATTAATTATATAGTAGTATATTATCACGACGCCTACACATGCTTTTAATCATTTAATTGTACGCACGTTTATCGCTAAAAAAAACCCCGCCGACAACTGATTAAAATACTATTTTAGGTATGATATATTAAAGATAAAACAAAAATCAACTCCAGTGAGAAAATTCTAATGAATAAACCATATTATAATTATATAATACCGTGATTGTTGATATTATGAAGTTCGATATTAGAAAATATAATAAGTGTATGTTTACAAACAATAGTATCGTCTATGTTAGATGATATAGTATTAAAGGTTATTGTATGTCTTCTAAGGGCCATGTAGTTAAAACAAAATTTTTTTTATCGATATTCTTTAGAGGATTTTCGCAAATAATAATTGATAATATTTTCCAATCTTGGTATCGATCAAGTTACTGTAAAAATTAAAATTGTTCAATAGATAAGAGCTATTCAATAAAACACAAGTTTCTATTCGTTTTGAAAATTATATATATGTTTGCATTCGATAGCAGTCGATTTTAATGTAAAACATTTAAAAAAAAAACTTCTTGAACAGCTTAATGCGACCCACATTAATCGAAAAAGACTTATAAGTCGGTTTTCTACAAATTATAAGTAATAATACTTATGACTTCCGACATATGTGAATGGAGATAAATAATTGATTATACAATTTACGAATACTTTATGAAAGTGTAACTAAAATAACTTTGCAGCAAAATTATAGTTTATTAGCAAACGCGGTAGATACTACTTTTTTGAGGATCCTACTATAATTATATGTTATGTCCTTGTAGAACAAGGTAATTGTATAAATTATTTTTTTTTTTTGCAAAATTGCCCAATGTTCCCCTTAAGTACATAATGTCTAATATTAGTACAAGCTAAAAAGCAAACTGACTATGGGTTTGGCACGGTACGGAAAATAAAATTGGATTGACACACGCCCACAAATTTGCATTTGTGCTGAAATATAATATTTGCTCATTAGTATTCATTGGGTACGCCGCAAATTGGAAAGTGAATAATTTTAACGAAAATGTCGGATAGAGCATAAGTTATTATTATAATATCAAAATTGTATTATGATGGGGTTCTGCTACGAATAAAGAATATAGCGTTAGTTTTTACACCGGATTGTATATTTGGTCGCATTTCGAACCGATTTCATGAAACCAATCGACATAATAATTATTTTTTTATTTTTTTTAAGGCTTCAACAAACATGGTTATTAGCCAACAATACATATGTAGGCTTAAGGACTAAGTAATATTAATTTTACAAAAGGAAAAATAATAAAAATCTTAGAGGCTATTTTCAATAGTTATTTCAGTTAGAAAATTAATTATTTTGGTGCTGTTTTCTTCATTGTGAGGGCTTCTTCAAAATTGTTCGGTATAGACATGTTATTTCGTCTTGATATTCTGGACAGTCCTGGATTACATGTTGGATCGTTTGGTCGACTTGGCATTTATAGCATTGGGGAGGATGATCTTTATTTATTAGGTATGCTTGTGTTAAAAAGGGATGTCCAATTCTGGCTCCTGCTATGGCGACTTCAATTTGTATTTTAATGTGCGGTGGGATATGTCATTTTTTCAATATTTGTCTTAAGATTAATCGTTAACGGCGTAGAATCCTATTAACTTTGACATAATAATTATTATAGCATTATGGTGTTTTTTTTATATAGATATGTAAATTAAGTATACAATTTACTTTGCATTGTTCCGTTCGTCGGCAAATAAAACAAATTTAGAAGGGTATTAAAAAAAAAATTCCTTACCTACAAAATATTAAAATTTAAATAGAAATGTTGCGCAGTTGTCGTCAATCATTTGTGAATTTTTTTACTATTAATATAATTTTTTATAATGATCCGCATGACATGGCAAGTACCGAGACCCGGTTGCATGTTTAAAGTGTACTCGGACAATCGATTGGCGTTTATTTTTTATTTATTATTTCCATTCGAACGTGCAGGTAGTGTGTTTAACATAAACGTCATTTCTAACCTTGGCAGATCACTAATTTATTGGTAAAAAAAATAATAATATATTACGACCCGTCTAGTCTCTAGTTCACTTGTACCTTGTTCTCTCCCACGACCACTGGTTACATTACATTATTTACCCGTCGGAAGATTTAAAAATTATTGACTCGGACCACTGCATATCATTATAATAATAATATCCTCTGCACGCTTGTACAGGTCAAATGTGATAATGAATTCGCAATTTTTAATAAAAAAAACTACTAGGTAGTTAGTGTAGTGTGCATTGTATTAGGTCGTATAACTAATGCAGTGCTTATAGACAAGTGTCCAACCAACACTATATTGTTAAAAACATTCAAGTTGCAATTTTCCTTATTGCACGATAATACAATAAAAATTGATATTACTACATGGGGGGAGGACTAGATCAGCATTAGGAAATAAAAACTGTATTATACGATAAGTGAAAAATAAATATACAAAAGCAAAAAAGTTTTTTAATTAGCTTTCTGGGGTTGCATTGAACTCTAAACAAAAAAAATGGTAGGTTGAAATTTGAAATGTGATAAGTACTTTTATGAGTCAGCGGCGATGGTAAAAATAAAAAAAAATTTTGTGGCGGCTGCCCTCCCAAAAGAAAAAATTGCATTTTTACTTAATTAAGTAGTTTCTAGTAGTACTATTATAATAGTAAATTAGTAAAACAATTCACATTTTTTTTTTTTTTTGGAGGCGAGTGGTTTTTTACTTAATTCATGGGAAAGGGGCCCCAAAGATATTTTGCCATACGGTTAAAAAAATATCTAAGTTAGGCCCTGGCTTGCGCTACCATATGTAGTAATAGTTCTGTTCATTAATATGACACGGTCTCCAACTAGTCCCTTCTAGCAATTAAAAAAAAAAAAAACATTAATATTACAAAAGCGGTGGTTTCTCAACACGATCAGCAATAAAACTTACTGGTTGTTTTGTACACAGGAAAACCCGTAGAAGAATAACGATTAAATATGTTAAGACCGATCGCTATCGTAGCTGTGCACCACAATAAATTGACATTAATTCTACAAAAATTCTTTGATGTTGTCTTTGAACGAGGAAACGGCAAATGCGAAGAACAAATTAAACTTCTAATGATAATAACAATTTTAATAAACGCAGTCGGTCGTCATTTGTCTAATTAACGAGGCGGCAGCTTTTGTCTCATTTACATTGTTATTGCGAATCATAATTTTATTTTTTTTTGTGCTCTATTTAATAAACACGTGTTCTCACAGCAGTTGTCCGACGGACATACCCATTGACCATTAGGCAATAGTGTAGTATGTAAAACACCAAACAAGTCAGGCTTAAGATAAGAATACTATATTTAAATACGTTTGAGATGTAAACATTTTTTTCAAAAAAAACGTACATTTTCAATGGATAAACATTTTAGCGTGTACGTTGCAAAAAATTTCGGGAAAATCCATTAAGTTTTAATTATGTCTAGGTAAGTATCGTTTATACAGATAACATCCAAATAAATATAATTCCAGTTATATCTTCGGTGCTTGGTCAGCTGAATAGTAGCGAGTCAAATTTGTATCCATTTTTTCCCCATATTTTTTTGATCTGGACGGATGAGTTCCAAACATAAAAAGGATTTGGGTCAAAATTAAAAAAAGCGAAGTAAATTTTCTAAACAATTTAAAATTAATTGGGTACACGAGAACCACTAAAAATATTGGATTTTTAACCCCTTATTTTTTTAAATAATCTAACCTTTAAAATAATACTAATTACTACTAATTATTAAGTATGTTGTATCCTAAAATCTAAATACTAAACATCATTAAAAAAGTTTTTTTAAATACTGGCTATAGAAAATGTATTACAATTTTCTGTTTATTGCCTAATGAAATAGGCAATTTTTCGAAAAATCTTAATTTGGAGTTTGAACTATAATGTATACTTATTAATACAGTATTAAGGATACTTTGTTGATTGCCATTTTTTTTGTCAGATTATCACAGTCATTTCTATAGGATAAAATAAAAAATGTTTGCCATCAAAACTGCTTTGCGCGGATTGATTTTTTGCAGGGTTCATATATAGTTAAGGAAAGAAATTTATATATATTATTTATGATTTGTCAAAACAATCTGTGTTCCATCAACCGTATTTTTTCGATATACCTAATACAACTAACGCTATATCATTTTTAAAAAAGTAAAAAAAGTCCTTTCTTAATTAATTAATTATTCATTAACCGGTTGAAATATTAAAAAAAGGGCGATGGTAGAACACAGACAATGTTGTTGTCTATATTGTTTAAAAATTTGGTTTCTTAGTTTTGATTATAGCCTTTGTAAAATTAATTACTGGTATATACGGAGTGCTTCAATGTGTATAAGGCCTATTGGTAATTTATTATATTTACCAAACATTAATTATTGTATTTTGGCTTACCTGAATGGTAGTAAGTCCCAACGAAGTCTTGGGCTGAGACGTATCTTTGTCTTCGTTCGCACTCATAATGGAAATCCCCGTTCTAGTCCCGTTTGTCGTTTTGGGCTCCTTCTATCGCACTAATAAAAATATACTATACGGAAGGCTAAAATACTTTCGATCGCCAATAAAATAGTATTATGTCGGCCGAAAGTAATCAACTCCCGAGCTGATTATTAGGGTATCTTTTTTCTCGGCGACCTTCCTATTCTTGCTGGTTGACAGGAAGTGCTCATTAATCGTCGCACCGGTTTCCCTTCCGGCGATAAAGATGCTACGGCTGCCGTTCTGATAGAATTATGTACCCTCCTAGAGAAAAAAAAACAATATATTATTGCTATTATTATCCATTTAAAATATATAACGTTATAACTTTTAATTTTTTAAACAAATAGGGTACTTTTTTTACTGAAGAAAAACTTCAAAAATATGTTATTTTACCCGAAACTAAACTAATAAAATGTTGTCGTCGTTTCCCATACATCGCACTTTACAACATTTTACATACAAACGATATGGCCCAACCGAGTACCTTTTAGCTAACATTGTTGATCTATTGGCTTGCTACATGAAAAAATCGTTTCAGCGGTTTTGTAGATATCTTGGGTCCGGACAAAAAGTAGAAACAAAACAAATCATTGTAAAAGAAATACTTGCTCAGCTTCGCATCGAAGCTAAAAATGGCGTGTGCCGTTCGATTACATTTACCATACTTGATATTTTCATACTAGTGGCAACCCGTAACGCGCTGAAACGCGCTTTTTCTTTTTACTATATTGATTTATAAAATAATCAACTACAAACTATTTGTTATATAAAATACAAAAAATCCACGTTTCTGTTATATAAAAAATCAACCCCTCCGAGAGAGCACTTTATCCATCTATTTATCAAGGTCTAATGTATAGGCAATTTATCGCAAAATCATTATTTAGAGCTTAAACCAAAGTATAAACTTATTAATACAGCGTTGAGGTGATGATTTTAATTATAATTTTTTCCATCAAAAGGGTTTTGCGAGAATCATAGCCGAATGTGCCTTGGAATTGTTGTGAATCTTGTTGGACAAAAACATAATAATAATTATCTGTTCAATTTCACCAAATTCAGTCGGTCAATAACGGTAACTCGACGTCGAAATGTTTTATAGTTTATATAACGTTATTAGAAAGCGGAAAGATAAGATTCACTTGTATGATACTTGTTTTGTAAGCCGTTCGATAGCTAACACAAAAATAGCCAAATTGCCAACACAAGGATAATTTTAGTTTTCCAGCTAATAATATTATTGTCGGGTCCCGTTCGTGATATTTATTTTGTGAACAAGCGGAAATGTTTTAATTAAAAATAATAAATAAAATAACTTGTCTAACATGATTTGTAAACCACCTTCACAAGTGGAAAAATATATATAATAATATGTACCTATTCTATTTTCAAATGTAAACAAAAATATACTAATAATATGGACTCAAAAATATGTTGAAAAATCAGCTTGAAAGTAGAACCTTTTTTTATAATATTTGCAGTTTACACAATTAATAAAAAAAATATCCTGAATTTAAAAAAGCGCAGAGGACAGTACAAAAGGTAAGTGTAATTATAAGCGTTTTTTTTTATTACCAAGCCTACAAAAAATATGTATAATTTGCATAACCTCCTTTCTCGTCCAGATTAACTGTTTTATCCGTTTTTTATTTACTAGTTTTATATTTTATTCCAAGTACAAATTAATTTACTTTCATTATCAAAAAACGAGACACTTAAAACTATTAGCTTAGCTAAGTGCATCTATACGAAATTAAATATTGAAAGACGTCTACCTAAATGTGGGCAAATGCAACTTTTAAATAAATCGTTCAATAATATTTCATTTCTCGGTAACTCGATCGAATTATTATTTTTTATACTTTTATAGTTATTAGTTAGCACGAATTTGTTTAAATTTCAACAACCTATGTGTTTAACCCAATTCCTGGTCATCCGGAATCCGGATAAAGTGAAGACTTTTAAAAAGGACTGTATATTCTTAGTTAACTTTTTATAATTTGCTGTACATGTTAACTGGTTGACAACCAGTTATGAATAATCACTTTTAAGTTATTGAAGTTTCAAATTTAAAACGAGAGGTGGCGTGGAGTGCGGTAGAACAATGCTTAACCCTGTGGATATGCATTTTTTAATTATTTAGTTTGTTATGATATCTATATGAAGACTTTAACTTGACACAATCAAGTTTTATCGAAAAATTACACACATACTTTACACTGCCTTGAAAATAGGCGGCATGGCGCGTTCTATCGAACAACACAACTACGGTCGCTCCAGTTAAACCACACTAGTGCAGTGCACACACGGTATTCATATTATTATGTACACACAGATGGTAAGCCGATATCTAACAATAAACAATGATGATCTAAATTACAAATCGTCGACATATGTGGTGTTTTCAAGGTCTTCAGGGGGTTGAAAGGTGAGGTGAATCAATTTTTTTTCTAAGCGAAATGTCAAAAAAAAAACAAAAATACAGTAAAAAAAAAAAAAATAATTATACACCCAAAACGAGACAAAATATATTGTAGAATAATCGTCTGTATAACAAACAAAAAAAACAGACAAACAACAATCAAGAGGCCTTGGTAGAAATTCGTGATAAATTATTATAACTTTTATTTTTTTATTAGTTTAAGTAGTTGTTTTACATATTTATACTATATAACTTTGAAATAGAAAAAAAACCGCAATGAAACGTCATAGGTAGGTCAAAAAGGATAACGCTTACCTACAGCGATCCAGATGGAAGATTTGATTTCAAATGTCACATTATCTATTAATAGACACAAAGCCAAGTGGTAACAGATATAAACAACAAACGGTCATCTTTTTTTTACCATTGGTCTTATTATCGATGACGATCGCACTTTCCAAGTATAAATCATTAGAATAATTTTGTATGCGTGTAGATATAAATAGTTTATGTGTCTATACATTTGTAATTATCCGTTAATAACGATTGTAGATTATAGCATTGATTATAGTAATATTATTACTATTAATTACATAGACAACCCATAAATAACGGTTTTTTTTTTTATAAATTATATATATATATTATTATTAACAACTATTGAAAGAAGAAAAAAATAATAAACGGGAAGGGAAACGGAACGCGCGTATTCAGGTTTTGACGGAAACGATCGTGATCGAAATTAATAAGCTTTTCGCTGCTACAATTTGTCCGTCAAAAAAAAAACATGAAAAAAACAATTTAGAATACAACACAAAATGTAATTGCCGGAAAGATTATACCGTCTGCTAATAAACTAATATATATATATATATATATATATATATATATATTATTATGATAATTTCATTAGATCGTTTAGCGTGACCTGATAAATAGTATTTTTTATAATATTAGGAATATTTCCAACGTCGACGTTGCGTCGAATTCCTAGTCAATTTTTGCAATCCTAGTAGTGTTGTAAAGATAAAAAAAAAATAGAACACATTACATTACTAACCAATCTAATCTACTAATAAAATCTAAACCAGTACAGTATCAATCAAGTTCAGGCTGAACCGGTACAATTCAAAACTAGTACTGCAGCATAAACATTATCGGGTTTACAGATACCAAAAAAAAACACATAATCGTAATACCAATATCTTTTCTCAGCTCTGAACCGAAGTTAAAATATTTTTAAAAAATAATTGTAGACTTTCTTGATTTATAATTTTTGAAAATGTATTTCAAATATATCTTTTATTATTAAACAATTAATTCAAAAAGTTTGAACAATTTTATTATTATTTTTAATTCATATTTTGTATCTTCTTGACTAACTCTTTCTAATGGAAAATTAAGCGTTTATAATATGTATGTTACACACACAGACTTCTTTAAAATTCAAATTATTATATACCGCATGAGTATGAAACCGATCTACCTGTATATTATTCTTATAAGCTAAGACAAATATATATCTTCTCACTATTAGTGTGTAGCATTCTGTTTTTTTTTTAATAATAAAGTAATACAATAAACAAATTTCAACGTTCCATTGTAAAACATATACCTTCTCGGCTACTTCGAGGAATTGTCTATATCCGTTATTGTGGATTGGCTACCTTCTACTTGGTTAGTGTTTTTTTTAACTAAGTACCTGTTATATTTGCTTTGTATATGTAGAGGATTACTAAAACGACGTTTTGTTTGGCTATGGTATATTTTACTTACACTACACATTCGGCGATAATGAACTTGGCAAATGAACACAAACAACGAGCCAATTATTTATACAAGCAATGACACTACTTGTCTTGATTAAAAAAAAAAAAAATGGTCCCCTTATAATAATAGTTATATTTGATGGCATTGATATGATATTGTAACGTAATAAATCAAACCAGATAAGTAAGATTTTTATCAATGATAATATGTCAAATATAATCGTTATGGATTTGGGGGAAAAAATTGTTAAAATAGAAATTTTTACTGGATTCCAGCTAGATTTTGTGCTCAAGTCCAAACCCCATGGTGATATTGTCAACAACGATTTTTTTTTAAATTGTACAAGACGGCTGCTCTTCATGGTGTGGTACAACACACACTGTATCATCGTGATATGCGAAAATCGATATTATCATTATTATTACAATTATTATTTCCAACGTCACTATTAACAAGCGCATGCATTTTATATTTTTTTACTATCCACACAATATAATGGCAAGTTTCACAGTCATGGTCACACGAACTATGTGCAACAAACCCATGGCTTCGTTATTACTTATTATCATTATAATAGTATAATACATTTTGTTTTATGGCCGTTCGACCGACACAAACGATTTGCACGGTGGTTTTCGAAAATGACTAAATTAACTCGATAACAACAACTCACAACACTGGAAGAAAACCGTGAAAATCATTTATTGAAAGCTAATAACCCCTCCACCAAAAAAAAGAAAACACCAATTTATTGGCACGGGTGACCCCATCAAGTAGGTAATACTCAAAGAAAAAAAATGTCAACTTACTCCGTGAAAAAAATAAAGTTTTTAAAATATAAACAACTGGTTGTATTGCTTAGGTATTCAAAAAATATCTAAACAAAAACCATAAAACTTTACTCGAATACATTTTTATTTTGGACGATTACTTTGTTATTGCGATAAAAGCACTTAATAATAAAAAGACTAGATAATATTTTAATTACTTAAATCGTTTTTTATTTTTGTTCTTATAATAAATGGTTATTCGAATTATCTATTTTTATGTCAATATGATAAATAATAATACCCAACTAGTGTCTATTTATAATCTATCAAATATACATTTTTATAATACACTGTACAACAAAATTTGACCTTTTCAGTAAAATACATTTGGTTTTTTTTTCGCTAAATCCAAACCGGGTCTCAGATTATCTTAACTATCACGTTGAAAATATCATAAAACTTGTGTTTTTTTTATACATTTAAGAGGTTTAAAATGTTCCACCACGTGTTGGAGATATTCTGAAACAAGATTAAGGTTTGGCGTAAAAAAGTATGTGTATTTTGCTTCTTGTTCCAAAATCGTGTTCTAAAGTAGTATAATATAATTGACATGATGTAGCAACAAAATTTAAACAATGAGAAATTTTAGTACTTTTGGTTTTTAATTTAATGACCGTATTGCTAAAAAAATTCCGTGATGGATTGTCCGGAGAGGACATTTCAAGGTCTAGTGCAAATTTCTATAGACGCATTGCAAATGCACTCGAGTGGGCAGTCCCCGATAGTTATCTACTTTAAATTTCCAACCATACATTAATGATTTTGATGACAGAGTGTTATCAATACTTGACGGCGCAGGTCATGTAAATATAAACTTTTACATAGATTGTACTTCGAATTAAAAAACACTTATATTGGAGTCAACACAACAACCCAACAGTTGTTTAACACCAACAGGTGATAATTCTATCTTCAATATGTTGTCTGCAAAAGTGGTGTGAGTCAGACATCTTCTTGGTTCACACAAATTTCGCACTAACCACTGTCTTCATTCCGTTTCTACTTATATTACGAAGTATATGACTTGGCTTATTTTGTGCTTGGCAAAGCAAAAATACTCAAAATAACTGATTCAATTTGTTTTCACTCTAAACTAAATTTTTTGTGAGATGTACACAAACAACAGTGTACGGCGTAAGTCGTTAGTTTCAACAGTTCATAAAAAAAACGTCAACTGCAAAAATGGCGCAATTCATTTGAATAGCACATCAAGTGTATAGTACCTAGCCATTTAGAGTGAAAATGGCATAGTGTGTTGTGGGTACGTCTATTCAGTAAACCAATAAAAAGACTAATATCATTGGTAAACTGTACGGCTATAGCATTTCTACTTTAATCTTTTGTTTTTAAACTTTGAACTTTCATGACTTACACCACAGTTGCTCTCGACGGCTCACGGTATTGAAAAACAAAACACAAAACCTTCTCATGCATAAAAACCATGAGATTCGCCCAAAAGGCAGGCAACAGCTGTCTCCTTAGTGACACACCACGGCCGTAAGCCACGTGCGTCGCTTCCATACAAAACGATACACGGACAGACAATTTATATTTTTAAACTAGCAGACATAAAAAATACACAGTTCATGCCGTCTCGTTTAGAATAATATTATTTTGTAAAACACTCATTTCCCCTCAGACTGCACACAAAAAATACCGATTTAACGCTTTAATTTTACTGACGCTTACTTTACACAATACTATTGTCGCGTTTATTGTAAATTATCCGGTACACTTTTATATTTTTCCTTTATTTTGCCTCCCCTCCCCACCTCGCTATTATGTTTGAAAACATAATAATTTAACGTCCATTAATCATCTTTTTTCGCGAAAGTACTATTTTTTAAGCTTTGCGTTACCGTTAAGAACGCAAAGTAAAATATCTACCGTTAATTGGTATTAAAATGTTTAGTTTTACTTGCGTCTTCGGCGATAGAGTTTAAAATTCTGAAGACAATTTGACAGTTGGTTTACCCAAGCCATACGCTCTTTCGTCATCGAGTTAAACTATCACTTTGCATATTTAAGCACCAATGACACGTACATAACCTACGCCACCTACGTATAAATATATAGGTATATTAGATAATAATATTAAAAAAAATTGAGATTTTATCAGTTCTTCGGAGGGCGTCATTGAACAAAAAAGACAAGTCTTTTGACATTTCTTTAAAATTGTATTTTACTATAAAGAAAAAAGGCAGCTGTCTGTTGACAAAAATAATACCACAATAGCCAACATAAATATTGTTGATGACAAATAGTATATATTGAACATAACACGTAACGACATATGCATTGCATAACGGGGAAAAAACTATTAAAAATGTTTTTTTTTATAATATTCTATTATCTGAACTGCGAATTTTAGTCTTTAAGAGACAATCTCGTTTTTTTCTTTACCAACTTAACTCAAAAACAAAAACTGTACTTAAAATAACAGCACATTATAACTTTTTTTAAAGTAGCCAGTTTAGTTCCAAAATGGTATGGAATAATTATTCTTCAAATAATCTACTATCGATATACTTTAAAAAATAAAATAAATATCAAAATCCCTTTCCCCTAGAAGAGGTAGATACTTTTTCTTTATATATCTTTGTCCAACAAACTTTCAGGACTTCAGGCCTGAAAATTAGACTGAATATAGATCTAATGCGGGGCTAAGTATAACATGTACTATTTTCTTAAAAATCTGTCTTCAAACTGCAAGGAAAATTACACAGCAAATTTCTAGGTTTCTATAATTGAATTGAATCAACAGTCAACAGGTTTCTCAAAAATTGTATTATTGTAATTTACTGTTAAATACAATATAATATGGGTAATAACGGCAACACATTTTTAAAGACGGCCGAAAACCCTAATCGTATCCACACTAATACAAAAAAAAACTAATTTTAAGAATTTATTATCATTAAAATACTTTTTTCGATATTTGTATTTCTGCCATCTACAGATTCGCATCGAATCACTTTGTTTGAAAGTGTTTTTATCGCTTTCAGTTATAATAGTACCATAATATGTTCCAATAAACTATTTGTACAAAAAATTTAATATTTTCAATATACCATGAAGATATTTAACAGTAAACTAAATAGTTGAGAACTTATTTCCTTATCTCCTTAAAAATATATAAAAAGAGTTAAACCCGTTGTGGTATCTATGTCGGCAGTGCTGATATCATGATACCGTGGTCGCGGTATCGAACATAGGAATATTGCAAATGCTCGTTTCCCAAAAGTTTTTAAAAACCAAAGCGGTATTGGTTTAGTTTACACAATTAACACGTACTGTTTGTATATAAATATTAAATATACAGTATAGTATTTTATTATGTTATGTATATTATGTCGTTAAGATATCTGCGTGGAATCGTCAACGTCACGCGAGCCACATGACTGTACGTACAACAGTATTAAAAGGTATGTGGTTTGCGCTATGAATACAATACTTTAATAATATTCTGTTTTTAATTAAATCGCACAAACAAATTCCATAATAATAATATACATACATAATATGTAAAATGTAACACGACCGTCGGCGGTGTTGTAACGACAAAAAAAATCCATATAGTTCGTGCAAGTGTTAGCGATATTTAATACGAATTCGGCGCATTTTTTCTAAATTTTATTTTATTTTTTTAGCGGCTTGTCATTTTATTATTACCGTCATCGAGTAGCGACTAGAGCGAGATAAAACAGACACACGATGGTAGAAGACAAATCGATTAGCACAATGTGATACACCTATATACAGCTATCGGCTGCAGCTGTGCATGAATATAAAATATTTATTCATTTTCAATATACTTGGTACTTGATACACACACACCACATATTATTAGTAAATACAAATACAAAAAAAATTACAATAATTTTAACAAGGTAGAAATAACAGCGGCGTGATCGAAAACAAGAAAATGTATAAAATTATTATTATATTTTTTTTAACCGTTTGTAATGTTTTGATAATAGGTCGTTGGTGAATTTTTTTTTCTTTCATCCGCCGATAAGCCGTATCGTTTCAGTTATCACTATATTATTATATTTCATATTATTATTATTATGCTATGTTACCTATCACACGACCGCTTAGGATCACAACGGTAAAACGCGGTTGTGTTATCATCGACGGCTGCGGTCACGATTACCACCCTTGTTTGTATATTACAAGAAAAATATTATACTAAACAAATTACAGTATTAATAAATAATAATAAATTATTTAATATTATTATTTTTTTAAATTCAAACCTTTCAAAAGACACTATAATATCAATACAGGTAGCCCGGTAGGTACATACCCCGAATGGAAATTGTTTTTAATACTCCGGCGACGACGGTAGACAACACACGACCGATCACGGCGATGACGGTATGGCTTTTACCCAGAACAGTAATTTGGGTATTTTGTTTCTCGAACAGTGCACGGCGAGAGCACACCGAACTGAACGCGTTCGCTAAACGGATAAAAAAACCACTGTTGTTGTGCACAAACCAAAAAAAGAAAAAACGGATTCTCGAACACGAGCTCGTTCGCCTGCAGTGTTGGTTTATGTCGTGAGAATAAATGTAAAAAAAAAAAACCAATAACACGAATAAATAATAAAAAAAAACGAAAACAACGAAAAAAAACTTTAAAAAAAAAAATAACGTTCAAAAAACCAAACCGCGTAACGGACACCAGACGACGACCGCACGCCGCGTACGAGCTGCGAATGTGTGAACCGCGGTGAGCGTGGAGAGAAAAATGTTGTGCGGACCTAGGCGACGGATCTGCAGGGTGAAACCTGCAGCGGCTGCGGCCGTTTGACGGGCATCGGCGGCGGTGGCGGCGGGGCGGTAGACGGGCGACGACCGCGACATTGATGGCGGTGGCGCGCGCGGCAGGAGTCTCTCGTAATTCAAAGGACGGTGCGCGGCCGGCCGCCGTCGGCGTCGGTCGTGCGGGCCGCGTCTCGATGCCGCAGCTGCCACCACCACCTCTCCCGTCCGGCCGTTGGACGGCCATCTGGCGGGCGGCGGCCAGATGCGGCCCGTCCTGTCGGCGGCACGGGCTAGATGGCGGTAGTGGTCTTACATTTTAAAATTGTAACTCGACTTACCTCACCCTAAAGCTAGTGTTATTGTCACTGGCTCTGTTTAAATGCGCCTGAGTTTAAAAATTAGGCATTTTATTTACCGTAACAAAACAATAAATACCTATTAGACCAGAAATTAATAATAAAAATGCATCTAATTATGTATTATTTTAATAAATTTTAAGTATTTTACAATTAGGGTATTGTATCTTTTTGGATACAACCAATAATCAGTATCATGATGTTTTATACTTAAAAACTAAATAAGTGATCGTCTTTATTTTAATATTAATAAAATATTTATAAGTACATGATTTTGAATGGCATTTGCTTTTTTTGATAAACCTAATATTTAGCTTGCTAACATTTATAATCAAATTTTTTTACTATTTTTGAAAAAGCTATAAATTATATTTTTGACGTTATTGTTTTCCAAATCGGATATGACGTTGTCTCCAAAATGTTGATATTTTTCGATTTCTTTATAGGTGTATTTGCTGTATTACAACTATAGACTTAGTTAAACGCATTCTGCGTAATTATGTTTAGCTGCAATTTTTTTTTTATCAATGACAAAGATGCTGCGATATTCCGAAAAATAAATTAACTACCAAAACAGAGTTCTAATCGCTAACTAATAATTACACATCACAGTTTAAGTTTTAAATTAGGATTATGCTAAAAAAATTGCCTATACCTAACTCCTTAATAAATAAGGGATATCACGTGATATTAGGAGGAACGGTCTTCTCTTAAGAGAAATGGTCATAGAAGAAAAATGTGCATACCGTTAAAAAGAGAAGTACTTTAACAGCTAGGTGCTCTCGTTGGTTTTATTTAAAAAAACTTAAATTATACCATAAAGACAAGCACTTGAAAATATTATTCCAATTGTAAGTCTCATTAATTTAGGAATTGTTCCAGTTTAATCATTTGCATTAAAAAAACCCAAAATAGAAGAAAAAGTATTTTCAAAGTGGCTTTGTTTTTTTTTTTAAATGACCTGTTCTATTTATCACCACTACTACAAAATAGTTTTTTTTATTTATTCAATTTAAAATGTATATATTTGTTTTTCGTTTTATCGAAAACAAAATATATTTATTTATAGCCTAATAGCTTACCTATGTTTGAGTGTTTTAATTGTTGTTCCTACGTGATATAAGTTTGTTTTTATGTATTGATCCTTAAAAAGTACTTCTAAAAAGTTGTCCTTTTTCTCAAAAAGGGTATTTTTTCATTTATAGGCACTAGTACAAAATACAATACCCGTATAATTGTATGTCCAAGTATATCGAGGGCTAATCGATATTAAAAGAAAAAAATAAGCCGTACAACGTTTCTTTAAAGTTTTTTACCTTCAATGCATTTAAAATTTATTGTTGTTTTGTTAGCGAATTTTCTTTAAGTTTATAAATAATATTTTTCATTATATAATAAACTTTATCTCCTTCGTGTATGCGGCTATACAACTTGCCTGTATTATATAATAATATTAAAATTGTTTTTTATGAACTTTATAGCTATTATTATTATGTCATATAATAAAAAGTTTATTGAGTTATTACTAATAAAAAAATTATGCTGTGATATTTTGGTTCAAAAAGGCTATATAAAAATGCATATAATGTACCTACGTAGTAAAAAAGAATATCAATACAAAAATAATTTATGAAAGACGTTTCTGGTCAAATCAGTTCCATATAAAATTGAAAATTTTCTGGATAAAACGGTTTGAAACTTTTACCCGTTAAATATTTTTTTTTTTAAATTGTACAATTTGTAACTCAGTTAAATTTATTTGCCGGTTCACTATTCAAAATGGTAAATATTTCCCCTTGACACGTGGACGCTTAAGGGCAGTTTTAAAATATAAAAGTCTATTGGAATAAATAGTTTGTTATAAATTATTTAGTATACAGTCGGTGCAAACGACCACTGGTCCAAAGTTATTTTCGTCAACCGTTTGTCTTGCCAATGGTCGACCTTTGCTGTTTCCTACTGCTTAGAAATTAAAAAAAAATTAAAATTATTATGTTCGAAAAGTTCGTTATAAACACTAAGTATGATTTGAACCGATAGTTGTACAATTTTATTTTTGCTTACAGACTAGTTATAATAATTACCAGAAATGCCATTAAGAAATTACTTACATTTTACAATAATATTGGCGTCGTTAAATTAAAAATAATAATACATTTAATGTGTTTATAAATAATTATGATCAATTATATATTGCCCAATTATAAATAATACACTTGAGATGGAAATAAACTCTTTCTTCTAAATGACGTATATAAAAATAACAAATGGCAATAACGATGGTGTTGTATAACAGGTCGGTTGGAATTTATTTTTTAAACTTTCATTTTCAAATCTACCAGTCTACAAGACGTCTATAATGAAAAACACAATTATTAGTTGGCTACGTAGAAAGCCAAAAATAAAGATGCGAGAGCCCGTGGTATAAAAGCCAATAAAAGACTTTTAATTTGTACTTTGCATTTCTCAACCTATTTAGTCGCAACGCCATTCGGTATGACTTTATATCAACTAATAATATTTCAAATCTCACCTACACGGTTTGGTTTTTTTTTTGTGATATCCCAGGTTGTAATACCTAATTAATATTATACAGTAGGCACACACCTTCACGGTGTATCATCGCTTTGATATATACTTACTTGCAGCGAAGAGAATAAATTGAGTGTTAGCATTAAACATTGCATGAACTCAAAACGCTCATCCTCCAATTATGATGTATTTGTTAGGTAGATATTACCTGTTTACATTACCTGTGCACAATTCTATTAAGAGAGAGAATTCATAATTATTACCATAACAATAATTAAACATGTAACTATGTAAACAGTTGTATAATAAATTTAATTTTAATTCACACATGACATTGTTGAGATAAAAAAGTGTAATATTATAATAAAATTGAAAATTGAAATGACCTCTTGCGCTTGTAAAACCGATTTATTTAATATTATATTTGAATAACTACTTTTTGAGCTGTACACGTTTTCTGTAGGTTGTCTATTAAAAAAACTGAATTTCATTTTTTACAGTTTTTTAAAGAACATTATCGGAAAAAGATTTAAAAAAAAAACAAACAATTTGAATAAAAAAATAGCATTTTGTGTATTAAAAAAAAGTTTCATTTTAGTGTAAAATATTGTCTATAATGTGGAAATTATCTATTTTAAAAGGAGTATTAAATTTAAAATGCGTTTACGACGCATAAAATATTATTAAAAAGTTTACTTTGTAAAAACACTTGTAGAAAACGAATGACTACAATAATATATTATAATTAAATAAACTCAGACGCCGATTAACCTATGCTGTTGACTACTTAACCTATGCTAGACTACTTACGCGTTAGGTATGCCGTTGAATTCCGGCTAATGATTTATTTTTTTGGCAAGCCAAAATAAATTAGACCCTGACAATATGTTAGCAATCAAGACAGTAGTTTAGACCTCGCTTAAAAAAAAAAAATATTTCGTTTGCCAGACTTTCCTAACCCGAAATAATGGTGAAATGTTTATGGGTTAAGGGCACCTTATTGTATTATTTTTGTTAGGTTACCTTTTCCTACTTTTCCGAAAAAAAAATGTATAATATTTTGTTTACACATTTTATATATTTTATAAAAACTCAATAGAATGAGATGTTTGCCGATTTATTTATAAATTATTTTTAATGAAACATGAAAATATAATACACAACCTTGAAATTGTAAAATAGAATACAGGCTTATATTTGTACAAAAATAATAATTACCATAGTCGATTAAAATATTTTTTTATTTATTCATTTTTTTTTATTTTAGGATTAACGGTTTTAAGAAATCATTGTGTTTATTCGTTATTTAACTATTTAACAATTAAATTTAGACATAAGTTTATATATATTTTAAAGTATTTATGACGAATGAACACATTATAATATTATCATTGAAATGTGCACAATTTTAAATATATTTTTTAGGCTACCGATAAACCGATCACAAACGTAAAACATTTTCAAACAGTTTTTTTCAAGAGTGGAACTCTCTAAGTATACTGTACAGTTCTACAGTTAAGTCCTCAAAAAAAGTAACATTAATGAAAACATTTCTAAAAATAAATATTTTACAAAAAAAAAAATAAATACAATACTGAATTGGGAAAACGATTAAGTTCCGACATTTGTATACATTTTCATTTACTTTTGAATTTTTGAACAAATACTTTTTTTACTAATGTATGTAGGTATAACGTCTACATATTATATATTAAACAAAAAAAAATTACTTTCATATTGCTAAAAAAGCGGTTTTTTTTTGTTGAAAATTCTAATTGTTGTGGTTCCGCATTAAAAATGTACCTATTATTTTTATAAAACGTTTGTATTCAAACGGTGTAAATGGAATTTCATAAAAATAAGCAATTATTTGTATTATTAATAAAAAAAAGTCTCATTTATCAATATAATTTTATGATTTATAGCTTTTAACTAAAAATTACACTCACGTTTATTATCCCTTGACCCTTTAGCATCATACACAACTTTTATTAAGTGTAATAACTTAGTCCAAGTGATTGAGAAAATAACAGATTTCTGACAAAAAACTATAAAATTAAAATGTTTTTTCCTTTTGTTTAAGTGTATTTATCTACAAACGCAGGTCTCAAAGGGTTTTTAATATATATATATATAATATATATATATACATTTTAATCGCGTTAATGTAATAATCTGTGTTTGCAAAAACTATGATGTGTTGTATTTCTATACAATGTTTTGGAGATCATTTCGGCGGTATGCTCGATGAGCGATTTGTGTTGAAATTTTTTACTGTGTAACTTTACAAAAACAATTAGCCAACAACGTACAATGTATTGTGGATTTTCCTTAGGGTTTCCTATTGTAATTTGCACAATATTTAATATGGCAACGCATCACTGTCGCCCCGAAATGTTTTGGCACGGAGCCGGCTGGCCTAAAGCTGAGCAATAAAAGCACATTCGGTACGTGCACCGAGTCAGTCGTGTCAGTACCTGCTCCGTCGCGTGTGAGATTCTCTGTTGATAAAAAAAAAACAATTAACTCAAATCGACCGTAAGACCAAACACAATGGCCGTTACCAAGAAAGACACACCGATGATGCCGGCTCTGGGCGATCCCGTGGCTTTTGCAAAGGATTTCTTGGCCGGAGGTATCTCGGCCGCCGTATCCAAGACCGCCGTCGCCCCCATCGAACGCGTTAAGTTGTTGCTGCAAGTACAACACATCTCCAAACAAATCGCACCCGAAGACCGTTACAAAGGTACGTGAATCATTAATTATTATGAACCTAGTGCTAGTGTTAATTTTAATGTAATTCACGTTGAATTACAACCGTCGATCGGTTCGTGCAGGCATGGTGGACTGTTTCGTCCGGATCCCCAAGGAACAGGGAATGACGGCTTACTGGAGAGGAAACATGGCCAACGTGATCAGGTACTTCCCGACTCAAGCTCTGAACTTCGCGTTCAAGGACAAGTACAAGCAAGTGTTCTTGGGCGGAGTGGACAAGAACACCCAGTTCTGGCGTTACTTCGCCGGCAACTTGGCGTCCGGCGGTGCCGCCGGAGCCACTTCCTTGTGCTTCGTCTACCCGCTGGACTTCGCCAGGACCAGGTGAGCTACATCCGGTTGTTCGGAATCCAAACGTTTGTTCCGGCCGCTATACTAACGGGTTTTCCCCCCAAAAGGTTGGCCGCCGACGTGGGCAAAGCCGGAACCGCCCGGGAGTTCAACGGATTGGGCGACTGTTTGTCCAAAGTGTTCAAAGCCGACGGTATCAGTGGCCTGTACAAAGGATTCGGTGTATCCGTCCAGGGTATCATCATCTACCGCGCTTCTTACTTCGGTTGCTTCGACACGGCCAAGGGCATGTTGCCCGACCCGAAAAACGCCGGATTCCTTTTGTCTTGGGCTATCGCTCAGGTAAGTCTAAAGGTTTTTTCCTAATGTTAGATACGATGATAATAATATAACGCCCCTTAACTTGGCAACGGCTCATTTATAGAAAAAAAAAAAACACAAATAATTCAAATAAAAGTACCTTTTAGGTTGGCGGAGGAAAGTTATGTACAATATAAAAGGGTCGGCGCCAAGTTAAGAGCTAAAATTATTTTAGCTTCGATGCTGTGATAGTTTTATAATGACGTTTCTTTTTTTTTTTTCTTTCGGATTTTCTAAATAGTTTTAAAATAAAAACTTATTATGTATATTTTAGGCTGTAACTACAGTGGCCGGTATCGTGTCGTACCCCTTCGACACCGTGAGAAGGCGCATGATGATGCAGAGCGGTCGTGCCAAATCCGAAGTCATCTACAAGAGCACCCTGCATTGTTGGTCGGTAATCGCCAAGTCCGAAGGAACCGGAGCTTTCTTCAAGGGAGCTTTCTCGAATGTGCTCAGAGGTACCGGCGGTGCCTTGGTGTTGGTGTTGTACGACGAAATCAAAGACCTCATCGTCTAAGACCAAACACAGTATTCCATGCACATAGTGACCAACATCGTTAGGTTAGTAAGGAAAAACTAAATAAATATATTATCAACAGCCCACCCTTTTTACCAAGGCTGAGTAAACTGAGCCTGCGAAAAAAAATTGTATTATATAATTTATATATATATATTTATAAAAAAAAAATAATTTATTATTTATGTTGTTGTGTAAATAAAACAATCAGTTGTTACCCAATTTTTAATTTTTTTTTTTTTTTATTCGCTTAAAGCTCAAGTACGTTTTGGTCTGAAAACTGTACTACATTATTTAGTACTTGAAATTATCGCTCTATTTTTAAAACATTTTCTGCCTGGCTATGCCTTCGGACAAACCCACGGAATATTGTCAATGCCAATCTAAATTTAACGACCCATTTGTGCGGATGCCAACATTTTAAACAGTTACAGTGTCAGACGAAATACAAATCGGTTGTATTAATTTTATTTTTTATGCAATAGTTGTGCCACAACTTGGTTATTGCTTACTCAATGCCCAACTGTTTCCTGGCTTCCTGGGTCCTGTTAAAATATAATTATGCAATTTGGATGGAAATGATACCATCAAAGAGTCTTTGTTTTCCAAACTCGATGAATTGAAAATTTAATTTCTTTTAAAGGTCAGTGACTATTATTTTGGCTTCGATACGACAGCTGAGAATGTATTGGTTTTTATAAAGATGCGTTCTTTATTTGTTGAGGGGGAAGGGTTAAAAATTGTTTTTTTTTTATTTCTTAGGCGCAACTTTAGTATTCAAGAGCTGGAAATTAGTCTTGAAGATAGGTCTAACATATTATACCTATAACGTGTGTTTAATAAAATGATTTATCCACACTGAGCAATGTAGGTACAAACAGCACATAATATTATAAGTGTACATTGGCCATGACTCATTTTTCCACGTTTCCAATAGACGTTTGGATTTTTTCAACTTTAGTTAAATCTTCTGCTTACACAAAAGCTATCGATGCATTTATTATTAAATTATGAACACAATAGTAAAAAATGTGTTAACTAGAAAAAACGTATACAACATTTTTCTTTTAAGTACAATTATTTTTTTTTTTTTTTTTAAATTTGCATTCGCTATAATATGTGTAAAGTAACAATACGGTACTATCATGCGAGCAAATTCAAACGGTCGGAAACAAAATATAATAAAACAAGATTTGGCCAAAAAACAACTTGTTTTCTATAAAAAAAACAAGAAATTATTAAAATATAAATATTGTATTTATGAAATTACGGTTAGCCATAGAGCTGGGATCTAAAATCTTATGGATTTCTTATTTGAATAGGCTACTAGTAATTGAAAGGGTAAGCCGGTGGAAAACTAAATAAAAAACAGTAATAATATAGTATGATGAATAGAATTTTTTTTTTGTTGAATCTCTGACCGAGCCAACCTAAATAGGGTCAACTTTGCCAAACGACAAATAACCAGAATTAATATGTTTCTTAATGTGTCATAAGGAGGTCACCTGGTGTGATTAGGCTAATTTTAAAAACAATGTTGCTACCAAAGTTTAAAACTATTCTTACTAAAAAATTTAATTTATATGTTAGGGTGGTCCTTAGTCATAGATTAATATTTTTTTTTAAAAATGTTCTAATCGCTTATCAAATACATTTGAATAACCGCAAAAAAAATAATTTTCCAAATAAATGAAAAAAGTTTTGTTTTATTTTTTTCTTGGATAATAATGCATTTTTGGAAAAAATATGTAGAAACATTGTTTTTAGAGAATTTATGATCTATCATAAAGGCAATGGAACATTTTACGCTAAATGCAATAGTTTTTTAATTAAACTCGTAAAACCATAAACTACCCTATTTGGCCATTGTTTTATATGTAGGTACATAATATGTCTACTCTAGCTAAAACTTATTAGGTGTATTAGGATATTTAAAAAACAAAAACGGTTTAAGAGAACTGATAATAAAAACAAAATAGTCCATAAACGCAATCAAAAAACTAAGTTGAAAAGATAATATTGTCAAATCATTATGTTATTTCATTATGGTGTATGTTAGAAATATCTTCTACTCAAATTCATGCTTTTATTACATAAAAAAAATACAAAAATTAGTGTTTCACTGTGGTAAGACTGAATGTATGTAAATAAATAATATTTTTTTTATTATTACTGTTATTTAAACATATGTATCCATATGAATATTATATTTACTTGTTTTTACTTTAACCTGCCATTATTGTATAAACGGTAATTACTTGAATCGAAAATTAAAAATTTTAACTTCTTCCCTTCGAAAATCGCCAAAGTAATGAATTTTTACATAATAAGATGTTGTTCTTTAGGTTATTAGAGTTATTACTACACACGGACGAGGTATGCGCCTTGAGCTACCGTAAACCAAATGTTGTGTAATTTGTACCTATTATGTCTGGATCGACATTTTTTGAGGATATTTCCTAATGTTTTAACAATTTCCACTTAAATTTAACATTCAGGGTCCATACACGGTGGGTTGATTTTCGAAAAACCTATATAAGAACAGCCGTCGATTTTGGTAGGCACATTCAGCTACAACCTTCCAGTTGAAGTAGAGGTTTACGGCTTAGAAAAATCAAAATTCTACAATGCAGTCAACCAAAGTAAGTGCAATGTATTTATTTTTTATTGAAATTTAAAACCAAACGAAAACTCAAACATTTGGCCACCTTAAACGCTCTTTATAAATACACAAGAGTACATAATAAGTGTTTTATATTTTTTACTGACGAACGAAATTCATATAATACGATACTACAGTTGTGTACTATTCTTATTGTTATGTATAATTCTTATTTAATTGTTTGTCCAATAAATTGACCATTCTATTGACTATCATTAACTTAATTAATTTTTGTTTTCTCAGTCGAATGGCCATTTTGTTCAAATATTTTATACTATTCATTACCAATTACTAATTACCGATTTTCTGTAAAACACCATGCAGTTATTGTTTTAATCGATTCGCAGGTGTTCTTGCTTCTATCGGCAAGCATTTGCCTTGTACTTGCCGACGATCTGTCCGGTTCGAGCTTCGGCTATGGCGTAAACGATCCAGCTACCGGCGACGTCAAGGATCAAGCCGAAACCAGATTAGGCGGTGCCGTTCCCGGTTACTACCGGACGCTCGGTGCCGACGGTTTGCTGAGGACGGTCAACTACAAGGCCGACGATTTTACCGGATTCCCCGCCGACGTCAAACGCGAACCCATAAACGACGTCCCGGCTCCAGCTTCAGCTCCCGTCCCAACAATCGCCTTAGGAGCTGCTGCACCCGCTCCAGCATACCCGATCGCCGAACGAATTACCGAGCAGGTCGCTAACGACGCACCGTTACCAGTTGCAGCCGCACCCACACCATTCTACCCTTACTCCCCGGAGTTCGCTGCACCCACACCTTACTATTTCGCCCCATACAGCTCCCGTTACCCGCAGAACTACCCCAGAGCCGCGCTGTACTCTTTCGCCCCATACAGCTCCCGTTACCCGCAGAACTACCCCAGAGCCGCGCTGTACTCGTACGGAGCATATAGCTACCCGCAGTTATACCCAGCTGCTGCTGCACCGTACAATTACGGACAGTTCTACCCAGCCAACAAAGCCGCCATCGCACCAGCATCATCTTACTCGTACGCCTCGTCTGCACCAGCTCCGTACGTGCCAGCCACACCAGCCTCATCTTACTCATACGCCTTAGCCGCACCAGCATCATCTTACTCGTATGCCTCAGGCTCAGCTGCACAATTTCCAAACGCGGTATACTCACCGTCAAGCGAATACGGCTCTTTCTTCCAATACTATACAAAATAAACACAGTTTGGTAATCAATTGTATTAAATTATTAAATATGATTTTGTGAAAAGTATTGTGAACTAAATTGCTTAATAAAATATTACGTTTTTAGAAGTATGATACCATTATTATATATGTATGTAATTTTAAGAATAACATTATATTGTACTCATGTTAATATTGTTTTCATAATACCTAAATAATGTGTATTATCTGTACGCCGATTGTCTTTTAAGGCGTTACTTAAAGAATGAAAAAAATAATAATCATGATTGCCCATCATCATGTAAATTCTCCAAGAACAGCATTTTCAATTGCTGTTGGCAATAAATCTAAAATAACAAATAATAGTCTTAGCTAGAACGCACTTAAGCATTACTCGTGGTTAAATAATTATATAGCTAAGAAATAATAAACCCATAAACTAAGTGATTCATTAAGAACAAGACACTAATTTACTCTTGATAATTGTAATTGTATTATTTTTTTTGTTGTTTAAGTGTTTTTTAATTTAATTTAAATATTTAACCAACTTTTTTCATAACTGTAAACGAAAATATGAGATAATAAATATAAATAAAAACAAATATAAATGTTTCTAGAAAAATTTACACCATACTTCAAGCGGCAAACATTAAACTTAACGCTATACCGCCTTCTTGGGTTAAATTGTCACGTTGTGCTAAGTGCTAAGTTGTACAATTGCTAAGTGTTGTGTGTTGTCTGACCAAATAATAGAAACTAATATTTTGCGAATAATAAGAAAAGCAATTTGATTTGCATAATTATGTATCTACACAGACTGCACTATTTAGCATTTTTATTTTATCGGTAGTTCTATGTTTAAAGAATATTGGCTTATTGCTTAGTTAGAAGGTATTTATTTTTAGTGCTTAGAAGGTTTTAAAGTAAAATATCCAGTTGTTTTTTGTTGGTTATTTTTTTTTGCTGTACCGACCCTGTATAAATTGTTCTATACTTGATTGGGATAACTGATAACTCATATACAAACAAGAGATACTTTGAATTTGAAAAAAACTTTCCTTCTCAATTTTGCGTTGGAACTTTTAATTAAATTTTCCTAATATTTTACACCGTATTGTATACTATTTAATAATAACGGAGTACAAAATTAATTTAGATTAACAATAACGTTTCCGCGATAACTGATTTAGAACAAAGTGCAAAAACATATTTTACAGTAATTCACGCAGCTTATTATTTATATAATACATTATTATTTATATAATAACAAATTATTACTGCGTTGTATTACATTATGAATATTGTGTACATTGATATAAAATATTTTTAATGATTTTCCGCATACAGAAACTTTATAATTGTTAGGTTTGAGTGTTTGACCTAGTTTTGATCTCATTAAACAGATTACGGCAAACAATTTAGGTGTAGCATAATTGAAGATGTAATAAGAGAATTCATGCCTTAATAATCTTAGTTGACTGTTAACCATGTTAATCTCAATTCAAATTGTGTAAAAAAGCTAAGAATTTGTTAGCCTCTTTATTGGTAATTAAATAATATAAATTTGAAAAATTATCAGTTTCAAAACGCACATTTTTTACATACAAGAGGCGAAAATTCCGTTTCATAGACATGCATATTTAGGAGAACTTCATACACCGGATTTATGTGGTTGAACTGTAAGTAAATAATTCTGTAATTAGCATTCATTTTTGGTAGTTAATATTTATTTTCCGGACAATATACTAAAGAATAATTATATTTCTGTTATGTGCTGTGAGGTCAATGCAATTTTATCAAACATTTGTTACGTTATCACCATCCGCCATCGGTAACTTTTGGCCCTACTGCACCAGGTTTAAACCAATCAAAAATCATTATTTGAAATCTATTGTTTTTTCCATGAAGTGTCCTATCTGGTTATGTATTTTAAACTGTGCAAACGCGTCGAACCCGAGACGAGTAGAGGTTATTCCACCAGCTTCCTGTAGAGTACAGGTAGTTTAACTTTCAACGACGACATGTCCGGATCGGCTAACCGTTGGACGACGGCGGTGGAGGTGTGGACGGTTTTGCTGGCGGCGCTCGCGTTCGCGGTGTACAAGTACTGCACTTACCGGTACGACTATTGGAAAAAACGAGGCGTACCGCATACCCGGCCGACACCGCTTCTGGGACACTTTTCCGGTCCCGTGCTCCGGCGTGCACCGCTGGCTTATGTCGTCGACGACCTGTACCGGAAGTTCGCCGGTCACCCGTGCTTCGGTATATACCAGGCCCGGTGTCCGATGCTGGTGGTGGCCGACACGCGACTGATCAACGCGGTCATGTGCAAGGACTTCGGGTCGTTTCACGACCGGCTGCCCAGCGACGTGTCGTTCAAGACCGACCCGCTGTTCAAAAACCTGTTGAACCTACGGGGCGCCCAATGGAAAGCGGTCAGGTCCAAGCTGACCGCGATTTTTTCCACCGCCAAGCTCAAGAACATGTACGCCGACATGGGCGTCTGCATAGACGGGCTCGTCGACAAACTCCAACGACTGACGCCGGACGGCCAAGGTAAGTCGGACAAACTGAAAAACAATCGACGCTGTACAGGGTGATCGATCGGTTGACTTCGACCCCTCAGTTGTAATAACGCATTATTATTGTTAAAAGGAGAAGTACATGTTGCCTTAGTGAGCATAATATTATGGCATTATATCATTATATTATCATCTATATAAATCAATCAAATGTGTTTCAAGTAAAATTGAGTGTTAATTAACGACAACAGCAATATTGTTAGACATTTTTTGGTCTTATAGAAAGCTATCGGAGGGTGTATTAGTTACTTACTATTCACACTATTTTAATATAAGCTAAGCGGTGTATAACAAGTCAGATTAATCGCTCTATCCGTGTACTATATATTTTCTATAAGTCTTTAATTATTATCACTTTACTGTGTTATTCTTGGTGAAACATTACTTTATCATTGTTACTATACAACTGTACAGCCGTGATCAACGTCAACGAGGTGGCGGCCAACTTTACCGTGGATACCATTGGCCGGTGCGCTTTTGGACTCGACTTCGGCGCTCTGTCCAATCCGGATTCGGAATTTCGCCGTATCGGCCGCATCTCTTTGGAGAACAGCTCGAGAAAAACCATACTGGAACTCATCCGGCTGGCCGACTTGGGCTGGTTAATCGACCTGTTCAGGTTGCGTGCCTTGCCGCCGGAAGTGTTCGACTTCTTCATCAATCGATTCCGGGAACTAATGGAATTCCGCGAAAGCGACAAGGACGAGCGCAACGACTTCATTTCGCTGTTGATAAAACTCAGAAACGAAGAAAGAGCCAGCACTTCCGGCGAAGACGGTGAGCATTTTTTATATCTTTTCAACGTGGACATTGTGTTATCGGGCTGGACACAAGCCCGATTTCGTGTCGCCATTTTCACCAGAGACAAGGGGTCAAGCGGTTAGTGATAAGAGACAAGACGGTAAGTGTTGAGAGATAACATATCCACGGTTCATATGTAACTAGGTTTTTGGGAAATCTGTCAAGTTTTATAATTTTCTAAACTCTAACTGTACTTGTCTTTAAGTCGTGTTCACGGACGAAGTGTTGGCGTCGAACGCTTTCGTTTTTTTCCTCGCCGGATTCGAAACCACTTCGACCACGATCGGCTACTGTTTGTACGAGTTGGCTCTGAACCCGGACGTGCAGACCCGGCTGAGGGAAGAGCTCCAACGGACGGCCGAGGCCAATGACGGGAAATTTCCGTACGATTCGTTGAAGGCCATGACCTATTTGGATCAAGTATTAAACGGTATTTAAACAAAAAATTCCTCCCGAAACAACAATGTAATTAACGCGCATTGTATTCGCGCAGAGTCCTTGCGAGTGCATCCGACGGTGCCCGCGGTCGCTCGGACGTGCAACAAGACCTACACAGTGCCCGGCACCGACATTACCATAGACCCGGGGGTCAAGGTGTTGATACCCATTTATTCTCTACACCACGACAGCAAGTACTACGAAAATCCCGACCAATTCGATCCAGAACGGTTTGCCGAAGATAAGAGAGCGTCGAGGCCGCCCGGATGTTTCTTGCCGTTCGGAGACGGCCCCCGAATTTGCATAGGTAGCTTTGTGCGGTAGTGATTATAATAATTATTGGGATACCGTTGCCAGTGTGTATACGTTTTTACAGTCAAAACTCGTTGAAAATGTTTCACAGGTATGCGGTTCGGTCTGATGGAAGCTAAAGCGGGACTGGCGGAGATACTGTCGAAATTCGAAGTGCATCCCTGTGAACGCACTCCCAAGACTGTAGAACTATTACCAGGGTCTATACTTCTAACGCCAAAGAATCCAATTTTCTTATCGTTTAAAAGAGTACAAACAAAGTAACAACGTGTTGAATCATCGTTGGAACAACTGAATGTGCCAGCTACTGGAATATATATTATAACTCATAAACCGAAATCTATAGTAAATAATAATAACTAGTTTAATATACATTTTTTTAAACACTTTTTTTTCGTGCATTACATTTCAAACAAAAATAATATTGTTGTATGATACATTAATATGAATTATTTGCGTGGATTGATTTTTCTCAGGCTTCATATATTATGTAAAAATTTGGTTTCTTAGTTTTGATTATAGCCTTTGTAAAATTAATCCGCGCAAGGCGGGTTTTTTGAAGAAAATAACGGATGTGTGACGTCCTCTTAACCTAACCTAACCTAACCAGAGACTATATCTTGCTGACCTCTTTACTACTCTATCCATCGGCCATCTGCGGTTAGTGTTTTTTTTTATACTCACAATAAATGAATATGAAAAAAAAATTATGTTGTTAACTTGAAGAGCTTCTTGTGAATAGGAAAAAATAGATAAAATGCTACACACTGAAGGCGAGAAGATTTATATTTATTTATTCTTTATATAAGATAATATACAGTTAGATCGTATTTCAGACCCATTCGGTTTAATGTACTGAATCGGGAAAAATTCCATGTGTTTCATTTTATAACACTTATTTTCATTTTTCTCAACTAAAAGACATATAAAGTCGATTCTAAGCTCATTAGAAATAACTTACCAGGAAGATACAAAATATAAATTAATAAATTAAATATAAAATATTCAAGATTTTTACTATGGTCAATTTAAGCTAAGTTTTACTTTAGCTACGCAGATCTCCGAAAAAAGAGATTTTTTTAAATTGCATTACATTTTAAACAAATTATAGCACATTATGTCCAATTACATACGTTGTATATAAATAAATAATAAAATATACACCAGTAGGTTAGTAAAGGAGGATTACATTTTTTTTTAAAATTAATTTTACAAAAATAAACGCATTTTTTGTAAAAATAAAACATTTAATTACACTTACTATAATTAGATATGATCCTTCGTACTTCTAACTAATACGTTTGTTATTATTTTTTTTTTTTGTGGAATTATATTCAATTAAGAAATGCTAGTTTTCGGTTATTTTTGGGCCGTATTTATGGCTAATAAAAGATTAGATTTAACAGTATGGTCCGTGTGATTTTCAATAGCCAACGCTTAGCTATTTTATGTATTGTATTTTTCAAAAGCTGACGTTGTCGTTAGAAAATAATTTTCTAAATTTGTTCGCGAATCGTAGACAATTTTTTTTATTAATTTCTGTAATTTATTAGCAGTAGTCTCGTGAAACTCATATTACAGTAACCATAAATAAAATAACTTGTAGCGCAAAGCACATGTGTAAACTATGACTTTTTTTAACACAATAAAATAACGAAACAAAATTGTCATCAACCAATAACAGAGCGTAAGGTCAGAGTGTATACTTGGGAAAAACATTGCAAAGATATTTTTGTCGATATCTACATATTTTATACTATTGCAAAAGTATAGTATAGTATAGTTATACTAGTAAAGTTCCAAGGCCTCTTAGCCACACACCAATGGTTGATTACTATCATTTAGATAAAAATAAAGACAATTTTGGAGTGGTGAAATAAAGCAATACACGATTATAATTTATTAAAATAATTTTATTGCTTTATTATTATCACGACAATAATTTCCTATAGAACTTATATTAATACATCAAATTATATTAATAATGTTATATTTTATTATTTCGACAATGATGATTATTGGTTGCACTACGTTTTTATTTGTCTTTGAACAATTTTTTATTTTTAAAAATCTTAGAAAGTTTTAATAAAGCTAACACAATAAAAAAAATCGTATAATATTATGTAATTGTCGATAAAATGAAATTAATCGGATTCTGAAATAGTCCGGTTTATGAAATATTTAGTAGCTCTGTATACATCTGAAATGCTCAGTGTATAATCAAGAGCACTGAGATATTTTTTTTTACCAAGGTCGTCTTCAATGATGTCCAACCGATCCAAAAGATCATTGTATTGAATTTTACTGAAACCAATTATTAAAATGTAAATAGTTTTACCTTAAATTTTAAAAATATCCAATACAACAGTATAGGTATTTCTTAAGCAACGTAAGTGGCCCTCGATTTACAATCGCGTTTTTTTGTAAAAGCCTGTAATGATTATATTGTACTCATTGAATCATTTACATGTAATATCTTAATACATAATACACAACACACAATACATGAAATTATATGCACTAAAAATACCCCTATATATGATAAGATTATATGCACTAAATTCAATATATGCACTAATCAAAAATGTCAATTATATAAGATCAATTATATGCACAAATAATAATATCGCACACAATTATTTATATATTATTTCAAATACAGTATTTTATAAAAGTATTAAAGGATATACTAAAATAAACATGACACATAACATATGCTGACTCATACCATACAATTATACGCTTGGATGATTATCCTAGAAAACATTTCATACCTCACCCCCTGCTAATGACGCATTTACTCCCTATATAAGACAATACGACGGGCTTGTCGCCGCTCAGTCGTTTAGCTACAATCGTCTGCAACTTATCAATTATTTAATTGTTAAGGCAGGGTGTGCGTAGTTAACCGATTCTTTTCGTAATTGTTTATGGTTTTGACTCAGTGTATGTTCCAAGTCCTATGCACAACAAAACATTGTGTTTATTTATTTGTTTCATTTAATAATTCGTCTATTAATTTAGCTATCTTAACATAGTCCGAGAGACTGGCCTGGTTCATTTAATTCTCTTGAGAAGCGTAAAGCAGCTCTAGGGATCCAATTCCTTTGAATTAAATTATTCACTTGGAATTTGGATGTTCTCGTCAGCAATTGGAAAATTTAAGTAGTTAAGTAGTTAATTAATTAGTGTTTAGCTAAGGGAAGACAACTAGAGTAGCGGCTGTTTAGTGAGGTTAAATATGGACCCTTAAGGTCTGTTGCTTCTAAATATCGCAACCTAGTAGTCTGATCTTCTAAACGAATTTGTGTAGTCCTCTGACTAGTTATCACGTAGCATGCTAGAGGATCACCAAGTTAAAAACGCTTAAAAGTAAATTAATCAGTGTTTAGCTAAGGGAAGACAACTAGAGTAGCGGCTGTTTAGTGAGGTTAAATATGGACCCTTAAGGTCTGTTGCTTCTAAATATCGCAGCCTAGTAGTCTGATCTTCTAAACGAATTTGTGTAGTCCTCTGACTAGTTATCACGTAGCATGCTAGAGGATCACCAAGTTAAAAACGCTTAAAAACATATCTGAAAAGGGTAACTTTATTTGGACAAACAGGAATACACTCCGAGCCGGATCATTAATACATTACACCTAATAGTACGCGTGTTATTAAGTAAAACTTTCGGTATCTATTAGAAACTAACGAGTTCGGTAAGTGCGTGTCATACGGGACTTCTATTTTCAGTCACTACAGACAACAAAGGAACAACGGAGGACAGCGAGACAACGCATTTCCACTCTATAGCTGAGCCATAAGGTACGTGAAAGCTTATTAACACTAGCATACTATTGTAGTAATAGGATATGGAAGAGTAGGACACATTTAAAAGCACACATATATATATTAAAAATAATTTCATAAAGACATCACAGATTACCCCTCCTATCTCTATATTTATAGCTTCCCATTTTTATTACTACAATTTGGCGCCCAACTAAGAACTCGTTTCCAAGCCACATCATATTTGAATTAGCCGTTGCTAAACTCATAATAATTCTTCCTTCCAAATTATATTATTGTTAAAAAATATATTTAAATACAAACACTAAAACATTGAAATTATTTTAAATGTCATATCCTTCTAAACAAGATTTTTTATTTATAATCAAAGAATTAACAAAACAAATAATAATTGAATACGAAAATCGAACTTTCCACAATTTTTTTAAAACATTAGACATTATTGCGAATACTTTATGGAATATCTCATTTAAAAATAACATCAAACAAACACATACAATAATTCTTTACAGATTTATTATTCAATACTTACGAGATAGTCTAACATCTCCTATCACAGAGAGAATAATAATTCATAGACTCACACTCGCATTAGATTTCATATTATCTCATACAATACAACAAATATACAAATACATTCCACAAAAATATATCATTTTTGGCAACATAGAAATAGAAGCAACTCTCGATTAAACAAATAAATAAATTCCATACTACCATAAAAGTATTTAATAATTAAACACTTAAATGACCAAACCCTCCAAAAAACAATTTATAAAAACAGTCAAATTTGTCTTAAGAAGAACTATAAAAATTTATGAAAATACTCTATTCCACAATCATTATGATATAATTGAATTTATCACAAACATAATCTGGGAATATTCTAATCACAAAAGATTAACTATAATTCAATCTTTAACAATTCAACGATTTTGCATCTCCCAAATAAATAAAGATTTAAACTTACCAACATCAGAAACAATTATTATACATAAACTAACTGACCTCCTACACCTTATTATAAGGTTAACCGAAGAACAACTTCTTGCGTGTGCTCCAATGTATTCTGAACTTACTAATTCATCGATTAGAGAAACATTAGTTTAAACTATCACAACATCACTGTACATCAGATTCATAACTACTACATTTTCAAATGAACACATCTAACGCATTAAAAATAAATAACACCACCAAACTTATTATACAACACATTTTATCAAGATATTCCATACACTTTGAATTCAGAACTAAAAATCAACTAACTACATTTATTGCTGACATAATCTGGATAATCACTAACGACAACAATCAATTCAGTCCAAAAAATCTATATGGATATTTACACTTCTTTGAATCCAAAATAATTAGAGGAATAATATACCCAACAAATATTAAAGAATTAATTTTAGAATTGATTGAAATCCATGAAGCTTGTCTAACAGAACTTCATCCTATAAATGAATCATCACTTACTAATGAAGTAATACAAATACAACAAAGAATCATAATAAAACAAATTCTAAGAATACTCCTGACAAAACTAGGCTCAAATACCGAAATAACTGATTTTAAAAAATATAGAACACTTCTAAGAGAAGTACACGTTCAATCTGCCAAAGAAACAGAAATCGTAGACAAAGATTTAATAAAAAAATCATATATGTTCATTCTTTCAAACACCATTCGAGGCATACTATTTCCCTCCTCAATAGAAATTTTCTTTCTTGAATTACTTCAGATGCTTGAATTTACATTTTACATGACAACATAGAACATTTCAATATACAACACAAGATTAATCATTCACAAAATATTAACATCTCACCAACCATATTTAGTTTTAATTTTTCTGTTGTTTGAAATTTTTCCGTTTCATAAAATGCACATAAATGGAAAATCAGAATGATGACACTAATGTAATAAACTCAATAAATATTTATGACATAGACGATTCACAAAATATATTGTGGGCTCAAAAAGCACCCTTTAATTCTATAAAGGAAAATTTAGCTAAGAGAAAATTAAAAGTCGAAGGATCAGCAGACGAACTTCGAGAAAGACTTATAAGATACCTTAAAGGCGATTGGTTAGTATCTGATTTTCAAAAAATTTCCACAATGACTGAAAGAATTCCATTCTGTAAGCCTTCTAAATTTTCAGGAGCAATACATGAAAGTGTTGACTCGTTTCTAAATAAATACAACAGAGCATCATCAATAAACGGATGGACCTCTGAACAAAAAAAATCATTTCTAGTTATTTATCTAAGTGATACAGCCCTTACCTTTTATGAAAATTTCGAAAAAACTAACCCATCAGCAGATTGGAATGCAATAGAAACATCACTCAGATCTGAATTCGAACCCATAGCACAAACACATATGCTTAGGACACTGTTAGAAAAACGCAAACAACTTCCAGATGAATCTATTGCTTCTTATATTAATGAAGCACAAAATCTCTGTAAAAGAATTGATCCCAACATGTCACAATCTGAGTTAGTACATACAATAATGAAAGGACTAAAACCAAACATCGCTAGATATGTGGGGATATTAGACAATAATACTCTAGATGATCTAAAAAAGAACATTAGAAAATATGAATCCGTTGAATTTATGCTAGAAGGAACTCAAAATCAATCTACAAATGATATAAAAAATCAAATAACTAGAGAACACGTTTTCAATGTTGAAGACATTAAAACAAAAAAACAATTAGAAACATTAACACAAAAAATATCCAACTTGGAAACTTTACTTAATAAACAAAATCAATATAATTTACCAAATTACCAAAATCAGTACAATCCCAGACCATCAAACTACCAAAATCAATATAACTCCAGACCATCAAATTACCAAAATCAGTATAACCCTAGACCAACAAACTACCCAAATCAATCAAATTCTAGGCCAATAAATTATCAAAATCCCAGATACAACAATTATAATAAATCATATCACAACAATGATATAGACAAACGTCAAAACCAAAATCAAAACCTCAACAAAAGGTTCAACAACAGCAATGTCCCAAATAATGCATATAACACACATAATAAAAATAACTATCAAAACAATTATAATAATTTCAACAAAAATCAAAATCTCTATAACAATAATAGAAATCTTGGCACCATTGAAAAATGCAAACACTGCTCACTCTCCAACCATTCATCAGAAAATTGTAAGTGGAAATTGCAATGTTCCATTTGCAATAAAAGATATCACACTGATGAAAATTGTTATTCAAAAATTCAAAACACAAAAAACGAATAAATAGGTCAAATGTCCACATTGGAGTGCATTTACCTTCAACTCCAATACCTAACACCAATTTTGACGAAAACACAGACATTATACATATTATACTCAATAAAAATAGAAAAGCCAATGCATTATATATTTTAGCTAAATTAAATAATCAATGGATAGAAGTAACAATTGATTCAGGCGCCAATATTAACTGTATTCGCCCGGATTTAATAAACCCCAATTCCATAA